TTAAATGTGATGAATATTAATCAGCTGGCAACGGTAATCCTCGGTTAATATTGTCTTTGTGATTATTGACATACCTCAACAATTTGTATTAGAGAGGGTTAGTCCTAGTTCGATTCGTTCACGAGTAATATCTGTAATTGTGAAACTGAATGAAAATTATTTTAATTATGCACTAATCATCTATTTCCCAACGATTGCAGATATATCCTTTTACTAAATTCATCCCACTATAGTGGAAAAAAACCCTGGAACACAAGTTTTCTGATTGTTGTTAAGTTCCATTTAATTGTTTTTTAAAATCTTTAATCTTCATAAAAATAATGATTCATTATGCTACAAACCTGTTTAGGCCATTGAGCTCTGATATGTTTCATAGGATAGCAAATATCATCGTGGAATCTTTTTATTATATTGAATATTTTTCTTAACAATTAATAGGCTCCGCAAATAAATATGGCTGTTTTATTGAAATGTGAATATTTGATAAGTCTGTTTTTAAATCGGAAGATAACTATAAACACAGAGGGATTTTATGGATATTATAGTAATTTTAATAGTTGAATTCACGAGCCAATTGAAGCTAGACCACTATGGAAAACCTGGGAGCAGTGGACGACTCTTCGGTAGATCGCATGCACGGTCCTGCCTTGCGGGATTCGAACCCAGGACCTATAGTTCTCGAGAGTGAGCGCTTATAATCATCATATGCTCACTAGTGAATAGCTTCAAGAGGTATTTCTTGGAGTTCAACTGAGAAGCAGTGACCAGTGAAGTTCAATCGGGTCTATTGTGAGATAATAACTCAGTGAAGACTATAGTAGACGGTGATACAACTTCGTGGATTGGTTGAAAATAGACACTAACACCATCGGATGCCGGCTAACTCAGTGGTCTAGACGTTAAGCGTTCACGCGCGAGGTTATGGGTTAAAATCTCGTGAGGTGGGATCGTGAATGCGCACTGCTGTAGAGTCTCGCAGTAGGACAAAACGGCCATCCACTGCTTCTAGGTTTTCCATGGTTATCTAGCTTCAATTGATTCATGAATTCAACTATCAGCTTACTATAATATCTACGAAACCCCTCTCTGATTATAAATGGATGAATGATCAAAAGATTTTACAATAAGCATTTATTCATTCTCATCTAAAATGATGCTTATTCAAGAAATCCTAGTTGTATTTCCATAAATATTTTACTCATATTGAAAATACTGACAAAAAATAAACACAGTCAATATAAATATGTAATTAGATAATGGTAAAACAAAAAAAAACATTTTTTTAGTAACAATCTAATATATTACTGATTTTCTCGTGGATTCTTTTTCTTCTTTTTCTCACTCACTCACTCCCTCTCTCTCTCTCTGACACTTATTTTTCGGTTAATTTTGATCAAATTCAAATGTGTCTTTGTTAAAAAATAGTTTCTTTTTGCTATTTTGTAATATGACTCGTTTAAGCTTTACTGAGTAACTAACTAGGCTTATTTGTCCGTACATGAATGTATGTATGTAGTATGTATGTATGTGTGTGTGTTTCTTGTTTTTACTTTTCATTGTTTGTTGAATCTCTATGGGATTTTTTTTGAATGAACAAATATTTTGTCAGAATAACGCAGAAACTCATTAAGTTCCTTGACTGTCGAAGGGTCCTTGGAATTTTTTTAAAAAAAATTCCGTTTGTATTCCGTTTATCAAACATTGTGTGACTTATTTATAATATTACTGTATGATTTCTTTTAATAAAAAGAAATAAGACAAAGATTACTCCATCACAAACTCTTTACAGTTAGTCCCTTTCTATGTATATATATATATATAACTTTTGTACAAAAATGCCTTAGATGTCACTTCCTACCCACACTGGTATACATATATGTGTACATATATATATCGTTTCAGACTGTTTTCTTTTACATTTTACTGTCACCCATCTTTTTTTTCTTCTTTTTGACTATCCATTCACTTTTTTTCTGAAGTTCCAGTATTAAGTAAACATAAAGATACTTTACATTTAAGATAATAAAGAAATAACTTTATACTTTATGTATTTCTATTTATTGTAAAAAAATATTTTTTTAATTTATAAACTCTGATTAAGAAACTAGACATATATTAATCTACATTTATTTGTGGCAATAACTTCTAGTCTTAGCCATGTTGGTAGATGTAGACTACTTGGTTGGGATCCATGTGACTAATGTAAACAATGATTGGAGACTGTGAGTGATATGACTTAGAATCGATCACAATAGCGTTGGTGTATATACTTTCTATGTTGCCTTAAACTATGAGATTAAAATCGCCCCATATCTTTCTTTCTATGAACTAATTCTTCGTTCCTGTACTATATCCTTATATACAATCTTTCTTTTATATATTGCCACCATTGAATTAACTACTTGTATGAATTTGGTGTTCATCTAGTTCTGCTGAGTTATGGCAACTTGGATTGATGCATGTATGTGCCTAGTCATACGTTGTAGCTGACTGACTGATTGACAGAAATTTATTCGTTATTCATCGTGAATAGATTGAGTGTTCACTTTGAGTAATTTGTATTATTTTTCTATGTGTAAATTATGTTATATAATTAGTCAACACTGTTATATTTATTAAAATATTAAGCTTGTATTGACAAGTAACAAGACATATGTCATCTAGGTTGTACAGGATGTCCTATTAGATTACCTACAAACAAATGACATTGAACCTAACCGATTTTTTGTTACCAATCATCAGTGTCACTATCATTGTGTTTACTGCTTAAACATACTTCTTCAAAATTGTTCTTTTGTACAGCCTAAAACTATTATTCAAAACATGTTGTAATAATTTATTTATTATTTATTTTATTTGAACACATATATATTAGTACGAGAGTGCGCCAAGTATATATGCGCCACACAATTTCAGTTCATTAATTGCGTGTGGGCTGTGATACTGCCCGGGTGCCCAGACCGAAGCAGGTGGTTATTTTAGGGGGCCACTCCCCGAGCCTTTGACCTAAAGGTCTAACCCACAAGGCAGTGGAGCATCGTGAGGAGATGCAGTCCCATGGTAGCCGGTGACCGAAAATTGGTTCATACGCCATTTGTTCCCGCAGGATACTGGTGCCCATGTGCACCATAGATCTGGAATCTGCTTAAAGCGCCTGACATTCGCTTTTCGTCCTCTCATTTTCGTATACAACACCCCCGCCACGAGAAGGCAGTGAGTAGGACTTCTCTGGCAGAGGCTGTATACGCGCGGCCGTGTGAGAGTATTTCGAGAGGGAGGGCGAACCCACCCCGCTTTCGGCCATACCAGGGCATTTGGCGGCAAAGCCATTGTTATTTTGTACAGCCTAAAACTATTATTAAAAATATGTAATAAAATTAGAAAAGAGTGAGAATTCTAAAATAGCGAATAATGATAAGCCATCAATATGACCGTTATAATTCTATCGATGGAAGTACATTCTTTTAAAGGGATTGTATCATCTGAGTTGGATTGTCTGTTTGCATGAAGCTTTCTTTATCACTCTAGACAACATGATTATTGCAATCTTTGAAAAGAATTTAAACCTTTCGAATTTATCTCAGTGACTAATAACCTGTTCTGTAAACTTGAAATTTAATTGGTTGTTGTCCATAATGATATGGCCCTTGTTTGTATACAAAACTCGGTAAACAATGAACAATCCAAGCTTCCATGATTTTTAATTAAGTGTTTAGCATAAATTTATCATTTAAAAATGTCCTTGATCAAACACAACTGAAGTTGAGTTATTCTGTATGTCTATAAACATCAGGTTAACGATTTAACTTTATTTAAATAACTCCCTAATCAAATTTGTAATTAAATTATCTTCCGTGTGTTCATCGGTAAGCTCAATTAAAAAGAGTGTTATCCCTTATTGCAGACTAATATTCAATTTGGTGACTAGTGGAGTTCAACCGGGTCTGTTGTGAGATAGTAACCCACTGAAGACGATTGTGGATGTGTCGCTGAATTTTATGGATTAGTTGAAGTTAGACCTTAACACCATTGGATGCTGGTTGAGTGGTCTAGAAGTTAGGCGCTCGCGTGTGATACCGATAGGTTCTGGGTTCGAATCTCGCGGGGTGGGATCGTGAATGCGCACTGCTAAGGGGTCCTACAATGAGACAAAACGACCGTCCAGTGCTTCTATGTTTTCCATGGTGGTCTAGCTTCAATTGGCTCATGATCGCAACTATTAAAATTACTACAGTATCCACAAAAAACCCCTTCTGATACTAAATCTTATAAGTAGCAATCCAAGTCATTATGTAAAATGCATCGTCTCCGATATGATTTAGATATTACATTATTCTAAGCTAAAATTGTATGTCTACGCTCTACCTCAAATTGTATTCTTCGTACTTACTCTGCATCTTTTCTTGTTATACCACTTTATCAAATAATACATCAAAAGATGTAGTAATGAAGTAATTTTGAAACGATAATTCTGGTTATACATATTTCTTACTGACAAACAACGATGACCGGTGATAGGTTGTCTACGAATTTCATTAGTTTTAAGTCAACTTCCATAAATTACGATAACTTCTGACAATACAGTAGAGCGGTTTTTTAATGATGAGAAATACAATGTTGATCTTAATCTTACAAATAAATGAATTTTTTAAACCCCCATTATTAAATTTTGAACAGTTCATGCATTGCTGAATGAGACATAATTAATCTCGTACTCTGAATGGCTGATTTTCAAGGTCACCTTGAGTGATCGTCAGCTGAAGCGGCTGATGAACCTTTCATTTCTATTTACTAGTTAGGTATTTGTACATCTTACATTTATTACATTAAATTTTTCGTTCACTACTACTATAATGTTTAATTTTGAATAGTTCGTAAAGGGTTGTAACAATAATATACATCTATACTTTTTTGCTGTCATTTTTATATGTAACGAAGTTATTTCCAAACTTATAAGCCAATTACTCTTATTATTATTATTATTACTGTTATTATTTGAGGGTCTATCCACTTTGATGGTGACTCGCATGCTTCGTACAAATGATACATCATCATTGATATATGAACCGAATCGTACGGCACATATAAAATCAAGAGGTCTTGTGGTAAGTGTTTGCTGGTGTTAGTACATTGTGTGTGTATATTACGGTTATTATTACCTTTGGTGTTTTCGCTTTTTGTTGCAAAGTTGTATTTTTTTTTAAATGTTCAGTGTCATCTTTGATGTTTGTATGTGTAAGTGAGTATGATGTGGCGAATGCATGTAATTTTTGGTGTGTTTAGAGGTTTTTCCATTCTTTTAAGTAATCCATGTCGATGAATATTTTAGATTGAAAATTGTAGTTCTCTCATTGTGAAAAAAATAGTAACTCACTGAGCAACATTTAGTTGCTCACTATTTATTTTTTTGTATTTTTTTATAAATTTCTACCGCATTTTTATGTATTCATTGGTTTGTTGGTGTTTATACATGTCGCTCATTTTCAAGCACCATTTCCTGTCTACTATTAACTTATTTCAGTAGATAATCTCAGAAGTTTCAAAGACAAGCTATGACTATGTCGGTTATGCGACAGACATCACCAAAGGTAAAAAAATGACCACTGTACAACTACGCGAATGGATTAAGGTTAGACATATGTTGACTCAGTAGTCTAAAGTTTGAGTACTCACCTCGAGACTTAATGGGAGTGTGTTTGGTTCCTGGAGACGTCACTTATGTATAATGCTGAGAAATTCCATAGATTTTAATGGTTGTCTGACTAAATTTAGTCCTTGATGTGAACCTAGAAAATCAAAGGTTTTGGTATGTGTAAACTGGTCAGTTTCTCAAATAGAAACAAAATTGACTTTACTGTTATCACAGTGATGATTAAAATTTATTCTCTAATATATCTAATCATCTCTATTTGCAACCTACGATTACACTACACTACGCATATATGTTCACACACACAGAGTTTATAATTAGCGTGTAAAATGAGATAACATTTACATGTTTACCAAAACAAATCAATCTCACTACGGAGATAAAAAGGAGATGATGGACAACCTTTTCCTATATTACTTAACAGTTATTTGGGACGAATCATAGAAACAATCTCAACCCAGGTGTTATAGTGTTGTACAACATAGTTCTTCAGTGAACACTGAGATTTTTTTAAAGCCGTAGTCATATGAAAAATCGTTCTCTTTGAAATGGACATCAAATCTGATCTATCTGTAAGGATGTTAATTTTTCATATTGACGATGGGATAACAAATGTTTATTTTTCTTCATCTTTATATTCTTCTTATATGAACGAAAATATTTACTGTCGATTACATTTATGAGCACTTAGTTCATTTAAGTTAAAATGCTTACTTTATTACAACCAGTAGAGTAGAATGTCACTTGGTGTTGTTTTAGTTGTATCTTCCCCTTGTTGTTTAGGACTGCAATTGATCAGTCTCTTGTTGTCATATGTGCATCCTATGCGGATTGCCTTGATATAGCTACAGTTGTAAAGCCATATATATAAATTGACTACTTAATAAAACATTCTTATTGGGAATGATAATTAGAATCTTTATTTTAGGTGAATACTTTAGAGTTGTTACATTCTTTGAATTTAATGGTTTAACTGGGTCGTTCTTCATTTTCGTCAACTATCTGTACATTTTATCAGATGAAAATTGTACAGTTACAGATAAAAGGAGTAGTTAAATAGATTTGATTCAGTGTGTAGCAGATATTGAGATAAACCATCGGTAACGGGCTACATGTTTATAATAATAACTATTATAAGCCCTTACAAACATTTATTAACAACTATCATAAGCAGAGTTGGTTGATGATTAGCAGTGGAGTCCAGAAAACGTGTTTCTTCTTTTTATGGACTCGTCGGGTGGATGAATCGGCATCTCAGAGTTGATGTTCATTTATGAATTTGAACTCAATACCGTTTGCTTCAAATACCATCAAGTTATTCACTTAGTCACTATTCGAATGTTTTACTAAAGTTTGTGACCTAACGGCAATATTGAAGTAATCCTCACACATGCCAACACAGTATAACCGATTACAGTGCTAAATATCAATGAGAAGATGCATATAAACAATACAAATGAATCAATTAACAACTGCTCTCAATAAAAACTGACCACCCACTATACTTTTAAGCTTATCACCATTTAATTGTCTACCTGTATTTGTTAACTGGTCATCAAACAGAAATCACTGCCATCTTGTTAAATACTAGGAGATATAATCGACCAAATTGTAATGTAACCGTTACCTTTAGTATTCTCACGCTACCTTAAACATCCCTTTCATTTCCTTCAAGTACATAATACTCTCAACATATTTTGACAGCATAAATTGGAGCTTTGCATTACTTAACTTTAATTTCTTCCCAAAAGTTTATAACCTTTCTCCATTTTATGCATCTATAAACCCATATTGGACATGATATATTTTCAATGTTTACTTACCTTCCATTAATCAAATCACTAATATTCATAATACTGCCCTCATTAGAATACTTTTTTCCTTTTTTTCCCCTTGTTTTTACTGATTATCCTAGTTGCGTAATCAGTAAGAACACAAACACACACACACACACACGTGCATAGATACTGACACATGTATCTATGTATATAACTAAATCGATTTATGACCATTTATACATTTGAAATTTATAAATAAATTTAACCGATAAATAAATAATAATACACATAAAAAGCCATTTTTGTGGAAACTAAAAAAAAATATATAAATAACTTTCAAATGTAAAGTTTACATTTCTTTCTATTACAAGGTATTCAAACCAAACTAGAACACTAATGGTAATGGTAATCATAATCATAATTATAATAATGGCATTGATAATGAAGAGGTATAAACATTGTTCCCTACTTCACTCAAATATGTATATATATATAATGAAAATGCTAAGATTATAATATAATTCAGTCAGTTATTCAAAATAACATTTCTTAATTTAAACAGTAAAATAGATACTACTAATAATTTTATTAGTAGTAATCTGTTATATAATTGAATTGAAGTAATACAAAAAGAATTACATAATATATATACAATTTTATTAAGTAATATAAGTCGAACAAACGAAAAATATCTTATTTTCACTAAATTAGAAACAAGGATTGAAATAATGTTAAGCTTATAGATTATTAAGTGGAAATACTATGAGCTAACATGATCACTAGAACCGATACAGGAAAACTGGAAACGCAAGTGTATAGGAAACCGACCCATACGGATCAAATTCTCAACTACAATAGCAACAACCCCAGAGCTCACAAAATCAACTGCGTACACAATTTGTTCAAGAGGGCGAGAACACACTGCAGCACAATGGCACCACGAAGAAAAGAAGAGAAATACCTAAAGGATGTATTTCAGAAGAACAGCTACCCCATCAACTTCATCAAAAAATACCAACCTCACGCAGCATTAGAACTCAAGTCAAGCACAAAAATCAACAAAAGGATCACCCTACCATATATACAAGGAATATCAGAAACCGCGACGAGACTGCTGAAAATCTTCGGAATAGGTGTGGCACACAAACAGACAAAATCAATACAATCAATCTTATGCAAACCAAAAGATGAAATAACAAAGGAAAACAAATCAAACATCATCTACAAGATAAATTGTGCCAACTGCGAAAAACACTATATCGGACAAAGTGGACGCCCTCTTCACCTTCGCCTATATGAACATCAATTAGCAGTCAAACGGCATGATATCTCTTCAATTATATCAATACACGTGGACAACTGCGGACACTCATTCGATTGGAAAAATGTGGAAATCTTAGACAGAGGAAACTCCAAAAACACCAGAGAATTTTTAGAAGCCTGGCACTCAGGTCAATCAGCAATCAACAAGCATATTGAAAACAATCCAATTTATCAACCAATCAGAAAAATCATGCACAAACATAAGAACAAAAATCAAAACAATGGGAGACACAACCAAAACAAAGAAGTAAACAACGACAACGTCGAGGTGCACAGAACAAGCTTTGAGACACATATGGAGAAATTCAAACACTTCACTTCTATCTGAAGTTTGTGCTGATGATGTCGTTCAGAAGAACGATGAAAGCTCCACGACCAAACCATCCAGCTCAGAGAACAAAACTCCACCATTTTCAAATATTGAACTCAATGGGAAGTCAAATTTAAGGATTAATGAAGTTATTTGATATAAAAGTAGATTAAAAGAAATCTGGAGCTGACGTATTCATGATATATCATAAGTCTGTAAACTTATTGAATGTTAATCTGTATCATGTTAGTGGATCCGTACTACTTGGATGTGGTTAATTTCATAAGTGAATCAGGTTTTGACGGTTTTAAATGAAATGGTTTAGAACCGTTCGTAACTGTGTAAGTGTATTCACTTTTTATCTTCCTATCGATCTTAAATTCCAGTATTCCCATATATTACCCTTTACCCTTTGTTTTTTTAAACAATATTCTCAATAGTTAGTTTTGCTCATTAGCATTCCTACTGAATATTTCTATTCATTTTATCATTGTGTTGTGATACGGCTATGTGAGTTAACTTACATCTTTACCAGACTGTGAGTTAATTAAGACAAACTGACTAGCTAGTGGATTGTATATTCATAATATACGTTTGATTTTAATAGATTTAAAGCATTCTATATTATAATGATTAAAAGATATAGAAACTGAAGTTGAGGAAATTAGATATTTTATGAACTATATACATTTTGTGCAGTAGCATAGAAAGAATATCAGTAAGTTCGTTGAATGTTGATTATTGTTAATCGAGTACTCAAATCAAAGGAGACAGTAGCTTTCAAGTAAGTAAGTCATTTCTGAAAGAGTTATGAATACTGATAGATATCACAACAAAAATACGTTCACTCCTTGTGTTAATGAAAATATCTGTTGTATTTTCAGATAACACTGAACAGCCGTTTCGTTTTAGTAACTATCTCCAAGATGTATTTTCATGGATTTCTAGTGAGAAGCCGTGAACAGTGAAAATCAACCGGGTTTGTTATGAGATAGTAACTCACCGAAGACAATGGTGGACGGTGGTGCAATTTCGTGGATTGGT